CAGAGAGTTGCTGGTAGTCCAGCAGCGTGAGCTGATTATTAGACAGATTGTACTGTAGCCGTGAGTCACAGTCTTGATGCTCCGTCAGGTACACAATCCACAGCTGTTCTTAATCCTTGCTGAACTGTGTGTGAGAAAGATATTGAAGTCCTTTTCTGTAACCAGTGTACCCTGGGTAACAACTCTGCTCTGAGATATGTGCTCATAAAATGCGTATGTGCGTGTCTAATTAGACTAGGATACAATTGCATGACTCTTTAAAAGAAAATGTCAAATGCTCCATGAAGCTACTTATAAAAGCATGTTAGCAGGAGTTTAATTGAGCCCATCCAGAATAATGAATGACATTTGTTCACTAGAAAAGTGTATAAAATTGTAGACTGAATCATGTAAACGGACCACTCAAAGCTAAGGAAACAATTGATGTTATTTGTGGTTTTTTTAGTCTCCGTCATCGTTCACTCTCCAGAAAAGCAAATCGATACTTGATGGGCATTCATTTTCTGGAAGAGTTTGTTTTTCTTGTTGCTCTAACATGCCTACCATGAAAAATACATTTGTTTCCCGGCAGTGTTGGCGTCCAAGACTGCTGAAGGTCGAGGTGTGGATTTACTGCAGACGTTTGTCTTCTTTGTTTGGTGCAGGCCACTTTGTCAGAGTTAATGCGTAGTGCGGAGGTACGTCCAAACACCTCGCTGTTTATTAACGTTCAAGACTGCAGTGCAAAAAAAAAAAAAAATCATGATCCTATAAATGAATGCTACCTTTGTTGTCGATGTGGCAGAGTGGGCTCCAGGGATTGGAGAAGGTCCAAAGAAGTTCTCTGTTATTTTCTCTGATCCTGTGTAGATAGCTGAGATCATTTTTACTCTTGTGAAGGAAAACCAATTTTATAGCAATTGTATCCAGCTTCAGGTCCATCCAAATCAATTTATTTTTCTCATTTAAAATCAATTTTATACTATGGTGGAATCAACCTTACCACTGTTGTTTTTTAAGGTTTTCCTTAAAGCACAGCTGACAGATGTGCAAAGGCTAAAGATTAAGTGTACGACAAGTACTTTATTGTTTTTATGTGGGTTCTTTTTACTCCAGGAAGAGAAGTCTAAGCTCAGCTCGTTGGACAGAACCTGTTATTACCAATTTATTCCATGTGAAATGGGAACTGCATTTTCTAATCGAGGGTCACATGCTGGGATCAGGTCTGAATCATTTTTCCCCAAAAAGAAGGAACATGTCTTAGTGATGTGTGGTCAACTGAAATGAAATTATTATTATTATTAGTTTATAATAATGGATAAAAGCCTCTGCTAAATTCATAGATATATAAATGTACTGTAAATGTCATTTATCATTTAAAAAGAATGGAAGAAACTCAGAAGTATGTGATTGGAATCCAAACCCAGTGGAGACCTGATACAAAACAAAAACAAAATAAAAATCTTTTTGTGCTGAAATTAGTCCGATCAGGTGCATGAGAATCATTGACTGGTCAGGGTCCCCCACGCAGACTTGTGTCCACTGTGTCCAGATGCCTGATCTTGTCCTTCAGGGATTTCTCCCTACAGTTAAAGGACATGTGACAGCAACACAGACTAGAGACTAAAACATTGTGCTGCAGCGTCGCTCAGTCCATTCAGATCTGGAGGATGTGCCTCAGTTCTTCAGGAACTCTGGCTACTCCAGAGACTCAACATGATTCTGCATCAGAAGGAAACTGCGGTCACTTCACAATTTAGACGTCCTAAACCAAGTGGAGATGTGTCTGTGCAGATTGTCTCATTACAGACCCTCCACTCTGGGCAAAGACAGAACAATTATCCGTGTCTTACACATGCAAATGCACTCCTGTGCAAGAGCTTGTATACAGGCAGAATCACCAGAGGCCTCTCATCCACAGTCTTTTCATCCGTTTTTTCTTTAGCAAAGAAACAGGTCAGGTTGATTCAAAGTCACGTTCTTTCTCAGTAAACATTCTTTGAAACAGGGATAAAAATCGAAGCGCAGCATCTGAGCACAGTTTATATAACTTTGAAGTGCATCTGAACTCATTTATGTTCAGTAATTCTTTCATATTTGAGCCTTGGTTCCTACACTTTATCTGGGTAGGTTTTTTTAGCTCTAATATAAATGAATTCTAAGTTAAAGTTGAGAAATGAGTTGCATACATTGTATTAATTAAAAGAAAGAAACGTCTGAGGTGTATGATCTCATTTGTTAGAAAATGATTTCATTTTTTATTCCTACTCTGACCACATGAATTCAGCAAAATTGTATTCTTTTGGCAAAACAAGTTGAACAGGGAAGAGATCAAAAAAAGTGTAACTGCAGAGTGTCTTATTTTGAAACTAGACCAAACTGGTGTGTTACATATAACCACTCTTCTTTATCCCCCCCCCCCCCCCCCCCCCCCCCCCCCCCATCACCCACCCCCACCNNNTGTTGTCAAATAGACCCGCCTTCTTTCCCCCCCCCCCCCCCCCCCCCGCACTTTCACACATTCATAAACTGTGTATTAATCTCTGCATTTTACACATTAGGTGCTGATCGCACACAGAAGAGATTTACTTCTCACAATTTCATATTCAACAAACTGCAGCAAATATTACCAATAAACTCTCTATTGTAAAACAAAGTAATTACTCATTCAGAGAGAACGGCCTCATGGGAGGCCTGAGGAGCTGGAGACTATAATTTGTTGTTAGTCATTTAAACCTGCAGGAGTATTGTGTGCACACTCTGCAAACTTGGGCTGAGCCGCTCTGATGAATGTTGTTCTATTTGAATTTTAATAGTGTTTTTGGATGTAGTTAAAAATAACTATATTCATCATTTTCAACATTTACTAAAGTAGTAAAAATTTGTTTGTTTGTTTTTTTTCTTCATTGTTGTACAAACAATACAACGATGTATTAAGGAGTCAAATTTGCTGATGTGTGTTTTCTTGCACACCAACAACAAAGACAAATAATGCTGGCTGCAGCAGTCTTGTTGTGATAGCCTGCTATACTGAAATGTGCCACCCTTCTTCTAGTCCTCCTCCTCCTCCTCTCATCTGTGCACGAGATGAAAATGTTGGAGCGGCTTCTGCACTCTCAGGCTTTTAACAAATATGGACAACAAGTCGACTTTATATTATGCAAGCAGCCACTGCTGGGAGAGTTTCTGAAAAGAGATATGTGAATCCAGGAGTCCTTTGTTGAAAAACACACTTTTCTCCCCCCACAGCAGCTGTGTCGGAGTGATTTAGTTATATTCTGCATCATATTTTACAACCGGATCATCTGGTGCTGTTAGCCACAGGAACACTAATCTCCCTCTGCATTCACATCAGAGAAATTAAGATTACTGTGTCACCCTGACATTAACCATACTCTAAATGTGGGCATAGGTTTTTTGGGCACCGTCTAAGAATGAACAATGCGGCTGTCTGCTCTAAAATAACACCGTACCCATAAATAGCAGCATGTGTCTCATTTGTAAAACAAATCATAAAGCAAGTATGAAATAGCGGGGAGCAGAGAGGAGGTGGCATTATCACTCACTAACAGCTGTGAGCTCTCCACATACTCTGAGATCTATGACAAAATGTAAGTTAAAGATAATAAAATAAAAGTGTTGAATTAAACCACAGCAGAGGGCCAGGGTCCAGTCAGTATAAAATAAGACAGATTAGCTTGAGCAGGGGTCACCAGCTATATTTGCCACAATGTCCCTGGACAGACACAGTGGGGGCTGGACACTCAAATAAAATAAAATAAAAATCACATTCTTTGTTCAACATTATTATTTAATATACCCAGTCATGGTTTGGATTGGACGACTCAGCCAGTCTGCCAGTTGTATTTATTTTTACTGACCTACAAACAAACTGATCACCTGAGCATATCTTAAACTTCACTAATGCATAAAGCTGCACACTTAGAACCACAGTGAGCTGGAAGTTAAGTTATCCCACTTTAAATAAATATTCCCTACAACACTTGAAATGTAGGGGAAAGTTGTTTGTTTGTTTTTTTTTACTCTAAACTTCTTTTTTGGGCCAAAAAGTAGCTTTGAATTGAGGTGAGGATAGTGTCATCTACTTTTTCAACAATATTCAAAACACATGTAAAACATACGTTAAATATACTACCATAGGGCAATGTCCTTGTATAATAAACAATATATTAAACTAATTAGTTTCATATAAATTGATGGTTATTATTCTGAGAAAATCCTGCAGATTAAGTTAAAATATTTATAAAAAATGCTGCCATGACATGGTTTCATCATGTTGTGTTTGTCATGTTTGTCATGTTTTTAGACAAGCTAATACTATACAGGTGCGTTCAGTCAAAGATAGTACTGTGTGTTGTTGCCCATAACACCAAGTAAACTCGTTTGTTCCAGAAGCTTCAGGTAGTTTAACTCTTGAAACTAGCTTTAGACATAAACAGTACAGTATATGCTAACCAGGCTAATGTTTCAGGTGCACCCATGAACGTTAGCATACCATCTTATACATGTTATACAACATAATAAATGTTGCAAATGTTACCATTTTTGTGACTCAATAATTTCTCATCTATAAAATTTTAATTCTACAAAATGTATAAAGGTTTTAATGCTTATTACCCACTGATTGGTAGTTGATGGGTGGGATGAGGTGGGTTAGAAGTAGAGCCAACGAGAGGCTTAATCAACACCTATCAAATTAGTATGTGAATAAATAGTAAGCACCNAAACCAGCAGAGCTTTAACTAAAGCTGAAATAAAATGTGCGTTCCAATGACTGAACTGAGGCTGAGGATTCTCCATCAGAAACGGTGTTCCTTTGTTAAGTAGAGTGAGCTGGAGCAGCAGTTACATATTAGTGAGCAAACACTTGAACGTTTCTCTTCTCATTCAGAGAAGGAAGCCTTGTATGTGAAGACCACGCTCCATGAATGACAAATAAAAGCCATCAATTCAGCAATTAAGCAGTATTATACTGTCATTGAACCAAGTGGGGGGGGGGGTCTTCTCTTTTTTAAACCGAGATTAATTAGAGACTCTCTGCTGTCTGGATTCATTGGAATATAAACCGTACCTGGTAACACCCCTTTAAATTGATTTAATTATAAACATGCTTTCAGCCAGTGAAAGAACAACAACGCCTTTGTCTTGTTCACAATACTTTATCAAATAGTCACATATAAAAACACACATCTTTCAGGAGAAAGCTCTAACTACTGTTTTCATTCTTATCATTGTGACTCTCTCATTGTTACACCTGTCTGACTGTGACGTTAAAGCTTCCAAGTACTAAGAACATTCGAGCAACAGAAATACACACCAAAGCACACAGACTCTTAAGTTTAAGATGAGAAGAACACATACTTCAAAAATATATCCTCTAATCTTACAGTAATCACTTTTTTTTCTTTTCTTCAAATACAAAAAAATATACAGTTTCCTCCTCTCAGTTCACTTGGAGAAATGCTTTGACAAACCTGACAATACCGTGTTTCGCACCATGACAGCTTTGAATACAGCGCTACTACGTCAGTGCTAAGTGTCTGCAGTGTCCCGTGTGCCATTGAGCAGTAAAGAAAGACGTCTCCTTTGTGTCCATATAAGCAGTCACATCCCCAGGAGGGACCCTGGGGAGATTGTGCCTTGGCAGCCCCCTGGAGGTCACGTCTATGTTGACATCACTTCAACGTCCAAGCTCATCGTTCTGTCATGTGTGTTCACATGTCGTCACCTCAGGAAGGGGCGTCTGGTCCTGCATGACCACTTGGGGTGGAGTGGGGACAGGGCGAGCGTGGGCCACCGAGTTTTTCTGTAGCTCGACCCCAAATGCGGGAGGAGCGTTTTGCAACTGTCTCCTGTACTGAACAAAGCTGCAGGTCTTTAGGAGGATGGCCAGGATGTTCTTTCCTATCAGGATCCCAGAGACTCTGGCATCTTTGTACAGAATCATGTTTCCACCACGGATGAACAGCGTGATGATGTTGATGGTCACCAAGCTGAGGATGGGGTAGAGGAGCATCTTGTGGGGCACGATGTTGATGCCCTGCATGCTGATCTCACTTAAGGACACGCACGGCAACACAAGCAGAAGAATGTAGCAGTAGAAGAACATCAGGCCTTCGGCCCACAGAGGGAGGCCCTTTTTCTGAGGCTCCCACAGGTTCGCCTGGATGTCCAGTATGTCAAGCAGGTCCACCACCACCCAGAAGAGACGGTTTCGAATCTCCTCGCGCTTTTTGAAGGCCCGTACGTACTCCATGTGGTCGATAGCCACCAGCACTACAAAGAGCACTGGGATGCATATGGACAGCAACAACGTCAGTGCCTTCCTTGCAAGAGCGTCCAAGCTTTTTCTGTCCGCCTTGTAGTTTTGATACACAAAGTAGACCTTGATCTCCAGGACGAAGATGTAAAGAAACCACAGGATCATGGCGTAGCCTCTCTTGGCCGTGCGAACCTCGGCGCCCACCCACACCGCTACGTAACGCAGGACAATCAGGAAGCAGATGTCTCCCACCATCACCATGATGCAGATGCCAATCTTGCGTGGTCCGTGGTTCTGCTCCACCAGGTAGGCATCAATCAGTGCCATGCTGCTCATGATGAGGATGGTGGACAGACAGACGTGGGGCTTGTTGGTGGGAGGTGGCGGTACCATACTTGCCCGCTGTAAACAAGGAGGAGCAGTAGGGGAGTTGTACTGTAATGGGATGCAGAAGTGTCCTCGGTTTGTCCAGAGAGGAGGCAGATCAGATCGTGCTGCTAGACAGAGGTGCTCCCCTCCATTTCTTCTGCCTTGGCCAGGATCCAGGAAGCAATAATAGGATTCACACAGATCACTTCATTCATTCTTGGCTTGTGCCGGAGCCACCTGCCGGGGAGACAGCACCCCTCATTTAGTAAATTATGCTCAGTGGTAAATGGTCTGTAAACATACAGCTTCAGGTGTGTGAAAAATAAAAATAAAATGTCAGTGGAGTTTTTACACCCTGATAAGCCTTGGACACAAAAAAGTTTAATCGTTGAGTCACCCTTTCTGTGACAAAAAAAGAGTAGGTGATATGGACTAATCACAGAATCACTCAGCACAATTCTTTCTGTCACGGACGTAGGCCTGTGAGATAAAAATCCGGCTGAATACTCACTTGTGTCCCTCTTTGTGCCTTATCCTAATAACTGGCAGCGAGCGATCATCCATGAGACTGAGCTGAAAGATCACAAAGCCCATCTGTAATCCACATCATAGAGGAGAAGATTGAACCAGACCTTCTACCTCTCCGACTGGCATAAATCCAGCAACCGCGTGTGTGTTTCAGCTTTATATTTTCTCCTTTACCAGTTAGCAGAGAAATCTAGGAAACGATGCAGTCGTAATCCACCTGCTTGGATATGATCCAGAAAATGATCTTTATGGTCACAAACTGCCCTCACTTTTCAAAAACTAATTTTGGAAACAGCTCATTTTGTTCTCACACAAACCTCCACCGGCAAATAGAGAGAAAAAATAAAGAAAAATGTGAAAACTCCGAGATAAGTCCTGCTGGAAGGGTGATTTACCCTCCAAAAGTTTTTCCCTCCAGTGTTCACCATTCCTAGAAAAAAAGAAATCACTCAGTTCTCAACTCAATCGTTGTTTCAAAAAAAGCTCAGGATTTGGTTGAATGTTTCACTTGCAGCATGTGAGTGACCGTGTACGCAGGTTCCAGCGTCTCCACGCTTCGTTTTTCCCTGTGAAAATGCTGCCCCCCAATGAGACCCTGGCCGCTGCGTCGATTTCTGCCTCTTTCTCAGAGACTTTCTGCCAGACACACCGGTATCAGCAGCAGGAAGAGCAGCAGCAACCGCCATGAGATTCACCTCTC